TTAAAATTATTTTTGTTAAAAAGCATTCACTTTTCACTAGGGCTTGAGGCATTCATAAGATAAAACTTTGGCATTCTTGACTTTATTTATTTTTGCCTTTCTGTTTCCCTTTGTAGTAATTAAGCCAATAATTTAACAAGTGTATAGCAAAACTATTTTATCTTTCAAGTTCAAAGCACAGAGATGAATAATTATCTCAAATATATTATAATAATGCAACACAAAATTATCTATAAATTTTATGATGTTTTGTAAGTCTTAAAGCAAATTTTTAAATTATATTCTTTTTAATTGTTTATTTAATAACCACATACTCAGAAGAGGCACTTCACTACCACAGCATTGACATATTCAACAGTCTTCTGAGCCAAGATGCACCTCCCTCAAAACTGGCTATAAATTTCCAGGTTCACAATTGACCAATTTTATTTTTAAATGTTTAGAGCTATTGTTACATAGGCTTGGGAAAGATATGGACCTGGAAAAGCCTGCTTGTTGTTTTTGAAGAGGCAGTAGTAGCCTTAAAAGCCTTAAAATGCTCATATTTATTATACATAGCATACATACAAAATACATCTAAAAGCACAGAGATAAGTAATTTCTCATAATCCTTGGAATAAAGAGTATAACATCTCAGAAGAGCAATTATCTATAGGAGAAATTGCACACTTGAAAAAGAGTAATCATCTCTTAAATTAACTTTTGTCCTCAACAATAAGAACCATGCTGTAGAACCAGAATTAAGACAAAGATCAAGGAAAGAACATCATGACCAGAACTGTATAATTAAGTATATAGTGTTGTTTTTAAAAAGTCTTAAATATTTAAACCTAAAAACTCATATTAATTCTATCAAACAGATCTAGGACCATTAGTCACTTCAACATGTTTCTCCAGAGTCATCACAATTGACTTAACCTCAATTGGCATACTGAACACATGGCCACGCTAATGTAGTCTGTTGAATTTGGGACCTTTTCCCCTAAAATTTTAGTTTTATGATGAGCAATAAGGATGCTGGGCTAATTTACCAACTCCAGTTTACATAAGCAAACCTGTTTGATAACAAGTGAATTATTATTTTTAAAATATAAGCACATGTAGACAGTGCATATACACACAATCGTACATGAGATTGATTTACAGCAATCAAGATCTTGTAATTATTCTTTGTTGAGATTATATCTCCTGTAATCCTCAGATTACACATTCAGGTTACCTCAAATTCCATGTTCCAACATGGTTCCAGTTTCATGAAATTTTTACAGTAAAAGAACAAAGAAAATTCATAAATCAAGACACTTTTCAAATACATTGGTGGAAATACTAAGTAGGAAGATAAAGCTAAAAAAAATCTTAGCTATAGGCCCCAGATGCTTTCTGATGACATTCAGCCTTTTGGTTCGTAGAAGCTGGTGGCCTGCTAAGTTAATACATTTCAAAAAGTTGTTTTTGTTTTTTTTTAATCTGTTAGTCACAGGATGCTAAGTCAGAAACAAAGGAGTGGCTATGTAGGGGACTAAAGATGGCCCAAGAAAAATGGTAATTAGTCTCTGGACCTGCAACATTCCAATCTCTCCACAGTCACTGGAAGTTCTAATCTGTTGATCAGCCTTTGTAGAATGTTCAGTTTCAAGATGCACTTTTTCTGGGAACTTTCATTCACAACAGCTTTTATATATGCTAATATCAAATATAATGACAATAAAATTAGGGAAAATATTCACAATAGCTTCAACTCTAGCGACAAAGACAACATGGTAATGTTACAAAACCAGATATATAGATAAATCCACATAGCTGTGCACATCTAACTTTTGACAGAGGTGTCAAAAACATACACTGGAAGAAGGTTTAGTCAATAAATGGGGTGAGAAAACCCAATTTAAAATAAATGGGGAATATCTAGCTAAAAAGAATGAAATTAGATCCATCTTTTACCCTGAAAAAAATATTCAAAGTAGATTAAACACCTCAATTTAAAATCTAAATCACTTAAATTGCTAATGTAAAACATTTTTTAAAACACTTTAGGATACTGGTATAAGCAAAATCTATCTGAAAAGTACCCCAAGAGCACATTAAATAGACCCAAAAATAGACAAAGAGGATTAAAAAATTATTCAGCACAGGAAAATAAACTGTCAACCGAGTGAAACGACATGCTTCAGAATGGGAGAAAAATCTTTGCCAGTTATACTTCAGACATGAGGTTAGTACCTAGACTATATGAACAACTACAAAAATTAAACACAAAAAGCCAAAAATTACAAAACAGCAAATGGCCATTGAATTCTACAGAGCATTCTCAAAATATAAGAAATAAAACTGGCCCATGAGTACCTTCAAAAAGTGTTCAACGTCCTAAGTAATCAGGGAAATTCATATTGAACCTACTTTGAGATTCTCTATTATCCCAATCAGAGTGGGTTATCAAGAAAAAAAAAAGATTACAAATTCTGTTGAGGTTACACATGCAAAAAGAGGAACCCTTATCACTATTGATGTGAGTGTAAGCCTGTAAAATCTTCTAAATTTCTGTTTAATTTGGTTTTCCCCAAATATAGTTCAATAAATAACAGTTTTATAGGACTTATATATTTATAGAACCTGCATATGGAAATATTCTGCAGGAAAGCCACTTCTAATCAAAGCACAAGGATGCAAATTTTCACCACCAAAATAATAAAATCAGAGAACTATCAATTGCACACACTTCTTTATACTAAAAATATAATAGTGAAAGGTAAAGACTTTAAAGAGAATTTTTTTTGAGAAATATCTGAACTCATTTTCCACTGGCTAAAACAACACGTAATTGATAAATATTAGCCAGAAATTTTCAATTTAATACTGTTGCTTTAATGTTAATCTTTCTTTGGTTCCACTTGTGGAAGTATTGTATGATAAAAGAGAGAAAAATATGAAAAATAGTAGCCTTATGAATCAAATACTACCAATAACTGGCTGTTCTTCATTTTACTATTACTTCTTTTCTTTTTTCTCTCTCTTCTTTTATTTCTTTCTTTTCTTTGTTTCTTCTTTCTTTTGTATTGTTTTTACATGTGCATGCATGCTTGTTAGCTTTTTCTTTTTTTCTAATTAACATACCAAGTTAAGTGGTTCCCAGGCAAGTCAACTAACGATTACTCTCTGAGACTACGTATTTGAAGGAGCATTGATTCTGTTTTACCTCTTTCAATGTTTGCTAAGGCCCAGGTTTGTGCTGTGATTAAAAATTGTTATTAGTTTGCAAAGCCTCTGTGGAACTGGAGAAGAAAGTGATGTTGAAATATGGAAAATTAAAATGCAACAAAGGTCACTGTTCCTTGTTTGTTTTGTTTTCTTTTCTTTTTGAGACAGGATCTCCCTGTAGTCCCAGCTGAACTGGAGCTTAACCAGGCTGGCCTTGATCTCACAGACATCTATCTGCCTGCCCTTGCCTCCTGAGTGCTGGGATTAAAAGTGTGCACCACCACACCTGGCCAGAGGTCACAGTTGCCATTCAGCTCCCCATACTGAACAAATGATCAGAGAAATTGCTTTACACCTTTAACTAATTTCTAGACTTTTGAAAAAATGATTCTGATATTTTCTGCCAGTATTATTTCATTGCTTTTATTGAGAGAATTTTTGTCTTAATTTATCACTTTTGCTGATGTCCTGGAATTTCTTTTGGAGGTAATGAAAATCTTCCAGAATCACATCATGGTGATAGGTGTTAACTCTATCAATATACTAAAAAACACCAAAGTACATGGTTTAAGAGTAGTTATCATACGCAAATGTGAATGTTTAGTGTAAATTTATCCTTAGTATATCATTATATATTGTAGGGCCAGAAAATATATCAATAGATAAGTCATTGAAAATAGTTTCTTATATTCACACATCCCAAGAGATGTGGCCTACTATGACACTAGATTGGGGTAATGTGAGAAGCACCAAAATCAGTGATGAAGCAAAGCAGTCTAGTTTGAATAATTCCAGTGGATTCTGATATGTACCAGCCTGTCCCTAGTTTTCCAGTATCTGAACCTGAAATTATTTGGTCCACAGATAGGTGAGTGAGGTGGGTGGGAGTTCAGTTGGTTTGCATTTGAAAGGTGTGCTCATTGGCAACTTGTTTTCTGTCTCTTAGAACTGGCATCCCTGTGGGGGCAGTCCCATCAAGATAAGCAGAGCTCTAGATGTCAAAGTGTTTGAATGTAGAAAATAAAAGTCCTGGTTAACATAGTTACATATCAATTAAAAGATTTCCAGGCCAGAAAGATGCCTCAGTGGATAAAAGCTTTTGCCTTCAACCTTGACAACTTGCTTGACCCCTGGAACTCACTATTTTTTTTTTAAAACCAGCTGTGGTACCTTCCTCTGTAATCCCACCACTGTTACAGCACATAGCCTAGTAGCAGGAACAAGAGGGACTGTGCCTGAAGAAACAGATGGAAGGAGAGAAGTCATTCCCAAAAAAGTTGTTCTCTGACAGTCTCCATGACATAGACACATCTGTATGCATGCATGTACATGCGTACGTGTGTTCACGTGCACACACACGGACACACTTGGGCACACAAAAATAAAAACAAATCTTCAAGAGTAAAGATTGCCAGGAACCTTTAAGGATTCTTATATGTTATGATGTTTCAAGAATTACAAATTATTTTCTGAATTTTTTTCTGTAGATCATGCGTGTTCAAGGAAGAAGACAAAGAGTCTTCAATTAGGGCATTAGAAAATGTGCTTGGGAAACAGCAGACTAAAATAATCTATTCTTGAAAGAAATAGATCATATTGTGGGATTCATCATATTTGGAGTAATCAACATATGTCTATAGTATCTACTTTTAATTTGGAGTAATTAATTTGCAGTAATATGTCTGTAGTGTCTACTTTGATGTTATCCTGTCCTTACAGATCTAAGATATAATGTATTAGAATCAAAAAGAGTATTAAAAGTGTTGATGGAATGAACTACATCTTTAACTCAAATTTTCTTTCAGATTGTTTCTGTGAATCCAAACTTCCAATACAGACGTGCTCAAAACATTACTGATGATTTCATTTATTTCCGTCCTATTGATGCGGAAACTCGGGAAAGGGCCAGAAAACAAAAACAACAAACCACTTTGGCCTCCCACCAATTCACCCCTGAAGGTATCCATCAGAGGGACTTGGGGATTATCAGTCCGGTGGCAGATGTTACCAACCCCCCTAACATCTCTAAAGAGTTAGAGAGCATTGCCCTTGTAAGACCGAAAACTTCAGGGCTTCTTCACCTAGAGAATATGCCGATTATTTCACCAGGGTTCCTAGAATCTCAACGCTTAGATGTTACAGGAATTGTCAGTCCAGAGGAAAGGGGGAAAGGCACCGCAATACTTGTTGCTGGAGTGCCTGGAAAGGAGGAGCTAGATGATACAGAAATTCCAACTTTGAAATTCACTGGGTTTATACACCTGGAGGTGTTAATAAATAAATGTTCACCATCCTCAGAATACAGTCGCCCAGGAACCCCAAGAAATCTGTGGATGGAATCTCCAGAAAATGCAGAGTCCCCAGGAAGTGATGATCTGGAAGTAGCAAGAAACATGTATCCTTTTAGAGAGAGATCCATTTTTCGGCGTTCCTGGGCAGAGCTTATAGACGCACCACTAAACAGTGAAGGGCTCCATATTCTCGAAACTACTCCTACCGAAGAAGATAGAGAACTTGCTTATCTCCAGCTAGCATCAGAGCAAGAAAATCAAGCAAACACCCCACTTAGGGATCCCCATTTCCAGGCTTTGCAAGGCCCTTTCCCATTGCTGCCCCAGCGCCCTAAACTCCGGAGGCAGCGCAGTCGCAGCCTGCCACGATACAGTGACAGCAGAAGCCAAAACCTAAATGTATCTGAATTCAAAGGAAAAGCAGAGGAGACACATTTCTTCTTCCCAGCTGATCGCAATTTACTAACAAGAGGTAAGATTTTTTTGAACTTCCTATTACTGCTTCTGTAAATTATATGTAATTTTCCATATAAGTATACATTCATCGTTAAATTTATTTTCAGTGTTGCTATCTGGAAATCGATCTCTTTATATTTCATAAAACACTAACTTTTTTTCTAAGAGAATTAGCAACTCCTACAAATTTAAGCTTTATATTTGATTATTACAGCCTGATGTTAAATTGGATCCGTTCAATCACACACCATTTAATAATCTTGGGAAGGGGGAAATCCTCAAAATGTACAAACTTCTTAAGACGTCAAAACTTTGGAATAAAGTTTACCTTTTAAAAATAACTTCCACTTAAGTAAGTAAGCCTGAGAAAATGACTAGTCGTCAGTCATCCACAGTTTTAACCCACAGAAAAGAAACCGTCTAACACGTTACCCAAGTATTAGAAAAAGGAAGGAGATAATGGGTATTGTTAACCCACTGGTTAAAAACCAAACAAATAATTTCTCTGTCTCCTCCTGTATGTGAGCACCTAGTGACAATAAAGTATGAATTGACAGATGAATCATTAATATTATAGCCTATACTTGATTAAAGAAAATATTAATAGAACTTATATTTTATGGCATTTAAAATATATTTTTCAATACTAGGTTGAAGCTTTCTATTAACTATAGAGAAGCATTTTTGTTTTTATCACTACATCTATGCAAGAATATACAAAAATGCTCCTATGAATACTGAATCATACTGGGAATTTTCCATTCTAACTTCTGTTAGAAACCTGATTCTAACTTCATGAAAAGCATATCAACTAGAAATGTTTCCTAGAGAAAGTCTCACAAATCTACTGAAAATAGGTTCAGAGAAAACTCTGAAATGTCATGTATACTTTATCTGAAAATCATGATTTGGCCCATTATGTAATACTTCTTTTTCTATGAATATTTAGGACTCTGAGAAGTTATTTAGCAAACACTGAAATTAAAGTATGACAGTCAGCCCAGATCACATGATCCTTTGAAATGTTCATAAAATTGGCTCAACCTCGTTCTTAATTTAAAACCTTTCTTAAGAGTTCTACAGGGCTAGGAAAATAGCCCGATCAGTAAAGAGTTTGCCTTACAAGCAAGAGACCTGAGTTCACTGTCCCAAATTTTTATTATTATTATTATTATTATTATTATTATCATTATCATTATTATTTTAAATTTATTTTTGGTTTTTTAAAATTGCGGAATAGTAGTGTGTGCTTGGAATCTAAGAACTGGAGTGTCCCTGGCAGCCAGCCCCTATAACTTACTTCTTGAGCTCCAAGTGAGTGAAAGGCTGTGTAAAAACCACACCAAACAAAAATGGTGGTCATGTCTGGTAAATGACAAATCTCCTGTGTCCTCCACATGTGTGCCTGCACACATATACGTTCATGTGCACACAAATTGTTCTATGAATTCCTGAGTGCTTCTTCTTTCATGGGTACCCCTTCTCTAGTTTCTAGTTCCCACGGAATTCTTGATTGCATTAATTTCTTACACTGAGAAATAAAATTGCATCCCAAACATCTTTGCTTCTAAAAACCCTTCAACCACCTACCAATGTATTTCTCAATGTACTTTCTCAATGGCTAAAAAAATCCTTCTGTATTTCTTCCATAAAATTGTTATTCACTCTCATTCTCCTTCTGTGCTTTCCAATAAACCCCATACTTCTGGCATAAGACCATTTACTCATTTATTTCTATACCATCATTTACATCAAAACCTCTAATTGCTAAAGATTTTATACTGTGGTAATATTGCCATATTATTTTGAGGTTATTGGACTGAGATCAAATTTGGAAATACCTGTCCATCATTGATAGATTTTTCAAAACAGAAGTCAGTTTGTTAGTTACTTAAAAACAACTTTTGGTTTTGTGTTTTAGGAAACATCAAGGAAAGAGAGAACATGAAGGATGCCTGGAAAAGAACAATCCCATCACATTCTGGAGAATATTTTCCTATCAATAAGAGGTCTGAAAAGTCTGCACTTCGAGGAAATACTGGAATTCCTGAAGATAATTCTGTGCGGTCCAGGAGCAATGTTAGAATTCCCAAGAATAATGTCAGTACTATCCCTGTGGTTAATGTTGGAATTCCCATGGATAGTCCTGGAGTTCTTAGAGGCAGTGGTGGAGTTCCCACTAGTAATAGTGCTGGAACTTCCAGGTGCATTGTACCTTCCCCACTTACTGAGCTCTCAAAGATACGTGAACACCAGTTATAAAACCTGACACCTTAAAGAGTTTCCCTGATACCTAAAGAAACCAACAAAGGCACTTCACATCAAAAGAGACATATATAAAATCTGACACCTCAAAATACTAAATTGACATCTAAATTCTGAGTGAAAAATGGAATATATAAACATACTTATGATCTTTCATTAGATTGAATAAAACTAGTTTGTAACTTACTAGTTTACTCTGTATGGCAACAATAAATTACAAGATAATTTGTTTGGAGCAATGTGTCTTATATGAATAATATGTATACTACTTCACTGAACAAAATACCGACCAACTGTCAAATAATGTTGTACATCTCCTAGTAATTTCAGGTGTATGTGGATATTTTAATTGACAAATGAAAGTTGTATAATAGGTATTAACATTTATTTGAATGAGTCCAGCTAAAGGTCTAAGAAATTTATTGACTGAAAGCTAAGGAACGCGGACGAGTGGCAGAAGATTCTTGAATACAGTACTGTGAAATATTTAGAAAAGGCATCTGGAAAAAAAAAGGTTACGAACAGGAGTATTTAAATATACATATTTTCTTTCTGAAATTTTCTTTCTTGACTGGACAAAATTGTAAATATTTATGGGAAGCCTTAACAAACACAAAGGAGACAAATAACTGTAGAACTGTAAATAGCACATGTGGTTGTGATGTAAATAATGTGACAATAACAGCACCACAGGATGCCTAAAATCTTGCATGCTAAAACAATATTTTGGTTTGAAAATTAATTTTTACATTTCCCAACTACCATATTAATTTGGATGAGAAGAATCAGGGTAGAAGAGAGAAATTCTTGAAATACTTTATGAAATTAGTAAGATGATCTTCCGAGAAAGAAGATGGCATTTCATTGGCCCAGTTGATCAGCCCAGTATTAAAATTATACAACCATGTTTATCTATAAATGCGATTTTCAGGAACAGTTGTCTCACAAATTCTGTAATATAGATAAAGTATGACTGGAAGGTGATGAGATTAACTCATAATTACTTGAGAAAATAATCTCATTACTTTTTATTCATGTATAATATAAAATTTGTGCTGAGTTTTAGGGCACATGGGCCACTATTCAATTTGTACATTTAAAATTTCAACTTTCCTGAGTAATGGTTGCTGTTGTTTTTACCAAACCAAGGGCAATTTAAATAATAGGTTACCACCTAACCTCTTATTATGTGCCTTAACACATAGTGGAAGGGGTGGTAATCTTTGGTCTGAGAGCAAATTCTTGCCCTTTTGCAGGATCCATTTGGCCTTTGAGGAAGGAGGTAGAGGCTGGCTAGCCTCCCTCATTTCCCCTGGTTCAGCATGTGCTTTATGAACCAGGACTTTGGCCTCAGAAAATAAGGAAAGGTAGTGAGATTTCTTTCTCCTACTTCTTACCAACCCAGAAGATGGGATACCATCTAAGACTTGAGTAACCTGAATTTGCATAAGGTGGCAAAGCCACAGAAGTAATGGAAGGATACAGGCTACTATACTTGAGTTACTGCCAATACTTGACTAGGAAAAAAAACAAACTGACAGATCACTTTGTTTAAGAGATAGTATACTCTATAATCTCTCTTGTCACATTAACTTTGCGAAACAGAACTACTGCATTCTAACCTTCAAAGGGAACCAACTTGTGAATGCAAAAACAAATGAATAAATAAAATAATGAAGCAAGATAGAAACTGAGAAATAACTTACCAAGAACTAATGTTTATCAAAAAGCAAGTGAAAAGACAGTAAGCAAAATTTGGTTCAATTATATATATTATACATATGTATATATATAATTGAAGACAGTCACGAAAACACCAACTTCATCATCAACAAAACCCTGCTATGTGAGTGTTATTCCTCATGCTTTGTGATCCATATAATTTTGGGTGTTGTGTTTAGTGGCTTAAAATTTAAATATGTAAATTATATGTAAAATGGCCAGCTGCTTCTTTGTAAAATATAAGAAATTAAATGAAACTGTCAAGTAAAGAATCAAATATGAAGATGGTCTAAGAAGATGATTCGCAATCCTGTAACAGAAGTTCTTTGTAGCCTTGGTTTTATTCTACTAAATATTGTTAGAACAAAACTCAGCAATGCAAAAGTTCAGTGGCACATCATTATTTTCAAAGATTGTACTCGGTCTTTTTAGGGTTTTCCATAACAAGTGAATTCTCTAAAGTCACTCAATAATATCAGAATTTTGTAAAAATAAAGACCATAGATTTTATTCAATAAGAAAACTTCATACCAGAATTCACATAACTGTCAGGAAATCTTTATTTATTACTCATGGTATTTTCATCTAATCATTAAGTTTTAAGTATGTTTTAGAAATAAACCCCAAAATATAGCAAAGTGCATTTAATAGATCATAGATTACAAAGAACACGTGCCTTGTTCAGTAAATATTTCAAGCTCAGAGAGCCTCACTGATGTGAATGACAATTTTGTGGAAAAGGAGAGGAAAAAATAAGAAAAAAAATTAGAATAAAGCTATAGCTTTAAAGTAAATGGAATTCTGCTTTATTCGGAAGAGAATATTTTTTATTTTGCTCTTTTGAAACTCATCGTTTTGTTATGTAATAAAATGAACAAAGTGTATACTGTCCTCATATGCATGAATTCCCTGTAAGTGTTCCTCAACCCAACACAATTCCAAATCCTTTATCTCACTTATCCCTGACCCACTTCTTCCCCATAACTTCTACACCTCACCTACATACTTCCTCTAGCTCTTTCCCCTCCCCTAACCCATTCTAAGTCATCTTCTTTATCTTCATTGCTCAGTTTCTTCTCTCCATCTAATTTCACACTGACACTGTCCCATATACACCCCACCATATTTCTTATCATCTGTTCCCTCAGCTTATTCCCAAGTTTCATTCCAACTCTCACTCTACGCTTGGTTTCTCCTGCCTCAAGTCTCTCTCCAACTTTAACCCTTAAACTCCACCCAAACACTAATCTTAAATTTTCCCTCCATCTTTACTGCCACGGTTGAAGTAATGATGTCTATTTCATACCTTTTTTAATTTATAAAAAATCCAGAAGTTGTATATTTTCCATATGTCAATATATCCCAAATTATAACATTCATATTAAAATGGCCAAGTGAAAATGATGATGTGAAAATGCGGAGACTCAGAATACCACTATTCCCCAAAGAAATCATTGATATTGAAAAATGACTGGCTTACACCAGCTTTTCAAAGTTTATGAAAACATATGCTCCAAAGAATTTCAACCCTTTTTCCACTTCAGTTTTCAGTTTTAAGTTCTGAATGAATTTTGAGAGACTTGGATTTTATCTTTTTATCATATATTATTAAATCATTCTTGTTTTAGGCTCTTTGAGAAAATAAATGGACATACAATACCAATTTCTTCATCTAAATTGTAAAATATGTTGATTAAAAAGATAAGACATGCACTTTGTCAATTTACCTAGAGCATATTTTTGCTATTAAAATAATATTTTAAGAATTTATTTTTAAAATGACTCACCTCTAGTATATTTCATTATCTTATACAACTAATACTCACTTACAAACCGACTTCTTTATTCTTATACATATATTAGAGTAAGAAAAAAGATCATCTTCAAAATTAAATTCACTATAAAATGCAGTGACATTTAAATTATAGTTAATTCTAAATTGTGGTAGACACATCAACAGTGAACATTACTAATTTGTCTCCACCAAGCTCAACAATCTTGAAGATCATCATGACAATATTAATTCATTTTTATAATTATATCTATAGGTATATCTAGTCATTCAAAAACAAGTACACGTACATTTGAGGGTTTTAAAGATGTTAAGTAATGCCCAAATTTCCTTTCTTAAACTCTAGCATTTCTGTACTACATAATGCAAATACATGTGCAGTGGATTCAAGAACAAGAAAAAGTTCCTAAAGAAGTAATGTCAATTTGGAAAGAAAGCACTATTGCCAAAATTCAGTAAAAACACCTCTACACATTACACCTTCTTAGCTTTTACGCTCACCAAAATCTCCAATCAAGTATTTCAGTTTCTCATTAGTACATCCAGTATATTTTAAGTAACTCCGTATTTCTCATTTTCCACATTTATCACCAGTGACTAGAGAACAAATCTGTCTAAAATCAGCAAAAGCTGGTATGGTGTTTAAGGCGTTAATATTTACTATAAGTGTAAATTTCCACCTTTTGAAAATGAAAGGAACAACTCATTTTTATTTTCAAGGAAAAGCTGGACAGTAAAGTGCACTAGTATGGTGAAACATTGCCCATTTTACACTGATACTATATTTGATTTTTGAAAATATCTATTGTCATTATCTGCTGGCCATTATTGACTTCTGTCTTGTTTACTATTTATTGTGATATGTTTAAACAGTATCATTCAAGGTGATATCTTAATATATATGTGACGTGTGTAATTTGGCCTGTATTGTATCTTTAAATAAACCGTGGTGTTGATTGATATGATGTTTTTCTTTATTCAGGGGTTGAATTATTGAGACACTAGAGTATAGAACTCCTGGTGCTCAATCTATAACATTATGCTAATCTTGTAAAATTCGCAACAGGTATTTT